AATAACCTAATTTGGAATATCCTAATTCGTTGACGAGAGTATCGCAAAATAAGGTCTCCAATGTGCTGCGGTCGACGTGAAACTGTTCGTTCAGCTGTTGGTACATTGTTGTGTTTGTTGCTTCCCCCACCTCCCAAACAAGACAATGCGTACCTCGCTGTAACACTCAGTCTTCACTTGGCAGCCATTTGTATTTGTGCTTCCATTTGGCACTACCGCCAAGTGCGAAGTTCGAGCAGTTATTCCTTTGTCAACGCTAATGACGTGTAACCTATCGAAATTCATCGGCATTTGAAAGAAGTGTGGCGAGTCGTGCATGGATGCCAAAAATGTCCGCAAGCGTTGTAGGAAGTGTGCAACTGGATTTACTGTAGTTCACAACGAAGAAAGAAGGGGCAGATCGTAAATTTCTGTCGAGTCGACGACTCGAATGTTGAGCAACCATGCGTGAAGATCGGCGGATCACTCTGCATTATCTCAGCATTTTGGTTCTCAAGGTTTCCTAAATCACCATTCCCAGGATTCTGATGGAAAAGTTGCAATATCGTGTACGCAAGATATCGTGTACGCAAGGCCTCTCGAATGCTCATGAAAGACCGCCAACAGTTACAAGTTGCAGACAAAGAGGACGACTTTTAAGATTTGATTATCACGAGCAAAGATTCCTGGGCGTTTCACTTCACACCTGAGACAAAACAACAATCACGTCAGTGGTGGAATCCCTCTTCTCCCAAGCCTAGAATATTCAAATAATCACAGTTTACCTTTAAAGTCATGGCAACTGTGGTTTGTGATCGAAAAAGGGTTTGCTGATAAACCTTATGCCTTTGAGGATCATAATAAATTCTGAGAGATATTGTTAGATAATGAAAAAAATGATACAGTCAATTCACAACCAGAGAACTTAAAAAAGAAAAAAAATGTATAAACTAAGTATTTTAGTAATCCCACATTACTTTCAAAACGTAATTTATGATTTCGTTACCAACAGATTCTTCATGATAAAAGTTAATAAATTTTTAACCCTTCAAAATATAACTATCGGCAATAACTGTAGGCTGTGTTTTTTCAAAATATAACGTGCCTTAGGGTTCTGTATTCTCGCTCCTATTTTAATATTTACGAATCTGGTATTCCACAAATGACAAACATTGAATTGACAATTTTCGCAGATGCTACTGCTCAATTTTTTGCTCATGAAGACATAACCATAGCTCAAAACATTTCAAAATGGTCACCATTGACTAAACCAGAATTATTATTATGAGCAGACCAATGAAGATTTAAAATTAATACTGATAAATATCAAGCAAATATTTTCTTCTCTTCAGCGACCAAAAGTTCCTCTTAAATTTATAATTATCAATAATACAATCCCGTGGAATAATAGCCCAGCTAAATATCTCAATGTACAATTTGACAGACACCTAACATGAAAACTCCATATGCTTAAACTCCGTCGGACAGCTTATAAGGCATGAAACGTCTGAACGCAAAACATCCTCCAACTATCGGCGAACGGCTCCAGGCCGGAGGTGGAAGCGAGATTGTGTGGGGAGTGTTTCCTTAGTATATTAGGCTTTCTGGATCAACAGAAGTATTCAGCCGTCCTTGCGGACGTGTGCAGATGTCCATCTACATGAATATGCAAATTGTTTTTCCTCAGCAAAATGGTATCTACCAGCAGAACAATTCAACGTGTTGTGCAGCTCGCAGTGCACGTATGTAGTTCGAAGAAAACTACGAATAGGATGAATTTACAGTTCTCTCCTGGCCACCAAACTCCTAATCGAGAATCTACGGGGTTAATCTCGATCGGGCCGTCGATCCGCAACGAGGAATCTAACACAGCTGGTCAGAACATAATTGACTCTTTTTCGCGCACATTTCGCAGCGGTCAGCGTTGCAAAAGGGGGTTATTCAGGACTTCGACAGGTGATCACGTTGATGTGACTGAACTGAGTAATTAAGATCACTGATATTTTGTGTCAAGGGTATCTAACAATTACTGGAAATTGCGTTTATGTGCACTCAATAATGTTTGCATTTAAGGATAGACAATTTTCAAACTTAAGCTAGCTATCTTTGCTTCGCCATGTACCTTCGCCACTTCAATGTGCAAGGATTTCCCTTAAATTATGTATAACCCGACGCTCGCTCTCACACTCTTTCTTGCGCTAATGACATGTTGACTGCTTTTGATTACAACTCGCAAAATAAAACGATCAAGAAGAACTACAATTCAATTGTGCGTGGGTCATGAGAATGACAATGAACAAATGAGTGCAGATAGGAGTTTATTCAATGAATTTTAATACATTATTCAAATTTTGTATTTTTACTACACACAACAGTTAAGAAGAGCAAGTGATGCCTTCTCTTAATTACATCGAAGTGATGATGTCTTAGAGAAAGAAAAAAACCAAATGTATTTGAATAGAAAGCTCAAATTTCTTAGAAATTTTGTGAAGTAATGGACCCTTAGTGTTTTAAATTTATAGAAGGGAGTGGCATTCACTTCCAATATTCCAACTTATTTCACTAACTTCTCTTAATTACATTGCTTAAAATACCTAATTAGTATTAATTTGTAATTTGATATGTATATAAGATATTGTACTTTTTAGCGCATATAACGCCAATAATTGAGGCGTTCGGAACTAAATAATACTGTTACAATGGGTGAAATTGAGGTCATTGGATTTTGTGAAAAGCAGGGAGTAACCCTTTAAATACTCAATTTTTTTGCAAAAACAGAAAACAAATGTTAATTCACTCATGCTTAATGGCACGTGCAGATCATTTTGTTAAATCAGCAACACATTGTATTTTTCTACGATATGTCAAACGTTAGCTATCATAATTTATTCACTTGAGTGCCTCGATAACAATTTGCATAATAAATGAGATATTAAAGAGTAAATAGGTATAATAAAGCTTCGAGTTGACAACGAGCTCGAGCGATGAATTGAGAAATGGACATTATACCAAAGTACGTAAAACATAGTAGAGCAAACCAAGTTCGGCGTCCATAAAAGCTTGCCAATGGATTGGAAAAAGTTTAATAAGTGAATTCATAATATACGTTTATACTAAACTTTCTGAGTTATTTTCTCACCACACTTATTGGTGTTTCTCTTTTAAGTTTGGACTATTTGTTTTAAAAGGAGTTTTTATTTCGAAATGTGTGTGTCCTGTGAAAATATTTTCTTGTCCGACGACGTTTATGAATGAGAAACCTCGCAGACGTCATAAATTTTATCCTTGCTTACACATTCATGAGCATTGGAGATATTTTACGTCAAAATTATTTTTTTTCATAAATGTATGCCCTTAGTTTTTTTTAAAATGTTCTAAGATAAAATATTCTTTCTCTACGAAATTAGCAGAAGGACAATGTGACGTTTCAGTTTCCCAAATTTCTACCGCGTTTCTCTTTCTACCTTCTTCATAAACGTACGTGATAATAATGAATAATAATTTTAATCATAAATAATTATTTGAAAAAAACTAAAGGAACTAAACAAAACCTCAACGACTGATTATTGGGAAATGAAGTATAGCCTATTAATTGGGCAATTCCGCCACCTATTAGCAATAATAATTTATCAGATAGATGTTAATCTATACTTTTACCTTTGTACTCAATATCTTACTTTTTGTACTGACTTTTATATTCAATGTCATACTCGAATGGTTAAACAATATATTAATAATATTCATGCTAAAATTTTAGCGTTTATGTAATTGCTTATTAGCTTTTGTAGTACAATGCCACTTTAGAATCAGGCAGGGACTGCAATTTAATGATCATTACGGATCTACTGCCGGTCTTATTTCCTGAAGAACATGAGTAGATTAATTAAAATACTGTTATTAATTTTTCATGTTCAATAATCAGTTTTGTGATTTGTTCGGGAGCTAATTAAATTGGAAACAATTTGTCTAGTTTTTTTTTTTTTTTTTTGCTGAGAATGCGTTAGAAGTCTTCTCTTCATGAATTTCAGGTGCACTATATTAATTTTGCGATAATAAGAACGTGTTATATGGCTGGTTCACTTCACAATTTTAGTCCAGTTTTACTCGAACTGGGGATGTCCTAATAACTTTTCTATAATACATTTCAAGGATGAATTTCGCGATATCTCTACTATCTTTATTGTAATCTTCCGTAGTCCGTAGCCTTCTCTTCCGTAATTGAAATGAATGGTATTGATGGGTGCCCAAATCCCACGTGGATTGACCGGATTCGAAAACAGGATATGCCAGAAGCATTAAAAGCGCTGAGCAAGTCTGAACTAAGCTAACATACCGAGCCAGCCTGACTAAATAATTAAGAACTAGATAAGGTAAAGGTTTCTATTAATCATATTTTCACTTTAATACATTTAACTGACATATAATTTCAAAACTACCAATTTTGTAATCCATACTTCACTGTGTATCACCGAACCAAAAAAACCTGCACTGTAGTCCAACACCAATTGCGGCTCCCTTTCCCAACTTAAAATTTCGTTGATAGGGCAGAAATCTTCTCGCGTACGTTCGCCGTGGCAGGGACGAAGCTGCGCCTCCCCGTGCCGGGCGCCCCGGCCGCGGGCCGGAGAGCGACTGGCCGCGGGGCGGCGACGCGCCTGGCGGTCCGCGCGACGTCCGACTCGAGGCCTCCCCGCCAACGCGACAGCAGCGGTTCGGCACGTCGGCGCGGAGGGCCGAGGCGCGCGGCGCAGGCTAGAAGCGCGGCGCGGCGCTGGTTGCGGAGCGAGACGCCAGACTGCGTCCGCGCTGCGCGGCTGACGGCGTTCGTCTCTTGCGCGGGTTGCAGCGGACCCCGAAGGCGGCCCCGGTGCCGTACGCGCGGGGGTGCGGCGTGAAGGCGGCGGCAGAGGGCAAAGACGGAGCTCGGAAGCGGCGGTTGGCTTCGCAGTTGATGGCGCGCCGGCGCGGGCGGGCAGCGGCCCGGCGGCAGCGCGGAGCGCGAAGCGTAGACAGGCGTGGACATGGCGTGGCGACGGCGGGCGTCGGGGCGCGCGTGCCCGACGCTGCTGGTGCAGGAGCTGATTCGCGCACGCCGCGACCCGAGGCAGCCCACCCGAGCACCAGCGCCTCACCGGAGACGTGGGCGTGGGCGTGCAGGCCCCTGGCTGGCGCGCCGGCGCAGGGGGCCGGGAGCGACGCGCGCGCCGCTCGCGGACGAACGCACGCCCTCCGGGCGCTCGTGGCTCGCCCGGCTGCCCTACTTCATCGTCATCGTCAGCGCCCTCGAGGTGAGTGACTGCTTCGCTTCACGAAAGTTTTGTGACTTAAAAGAATTGTCAGTTTGGCGGAAATCGTGTTCTGCACGTTATACCTGTGATCCACGTTCGTGTGTGGGGTGCACAGTGAACAGGTGATCAACAAGTGACATGACTTCGCAGTTGACACAAAAGTAATTTGCGACCTTCTGTCTCTCATCTGTCTTGATGTTTATGAAACTGAATCTGTCGTAGTTAGAATGACTGTGATGAGTTTTAAATGCTCGATTTTTAAGTTTTTTTTCTTTTCTTTTCTGAATGAGAGGTAGAAATTTTGCCTGGAAGACATTTTACTTTTTCAATATTTGTTTACATCGGTTTTGTAATCAACGATTTCATTCAAGAAACATTTCAGACTAAAATTGCTTCTGTAAACTAAGGGGGGAAATAGGTGGAGAGATGTGTATTGGGACAATGTTATCAACTGATTCATTTGGACATCAGTTACTTCTGAGCTACTGAAGTGGATGAACTTATTTTATGTCGCTATTATGTAGTAATCACTTATGACGTACATACTTCTACACAATAATATTTCTTCCACTTTTAATTTTTTCCAGTATTTTACAAAATATATTAATATCTTCGATTACCTGAAAGTGATTGTATTTCTAAGCAAAATAATTGGTTGACGGCAGTAAATTGTTTGTGCGGGAGTGTCAAAGATTTCGAGAGAGAAAATCCGAGTGAGTCTAATCACGTTCGATCCGCTAGAGTGACTCATTCGATGTATTTCAAATACTTCAAACAGTAACAGTTTCGACTCCGGTTGAACGGTTCCAGGAGCGCCTGGGCACTAGGTACTTGTTTGGTTGTGTCCTGGTAGGTACTTGCTTACTTCTTTTCACATTCTTTTTATCCGTGTGAACACGTTGAGGTCGGAAAGGCTCTGACAACCATCCATTTTACCCCAATAAATATTTTTCATCCTTTTACGCATTGTTTTTGTGATTAAAAATATTTTGTGATTTCTGTTGCATTGAAAAGACACGCAAGATGTTACCTATCGCCGTGATTTGTTGAAATTTAATGATACGGAAACGTTTATTCTTAATTGCATTTAGCATAGCGTATGATTAACAGACCTAATTCATACCATTCGTTGAGGGGCTCTCGTACGAATATATTCATTCGATGGTCATGGGTTTTCAATAAATGCCTTTTATACAATAACACATGCAATTGTCAAGGATCTTTTTTCACATATCCTTGAGCTGTCTATCAAATATTTCTTCGATGGATTGTTTATGTAAGACGTTCTTACTTACCTCAATTTGTCCAATCATGCGATTTGTTAACGCTCGCCGACGAAAGCATTTTTTGGGAGTTCGAAAAAAAAATGATGATTCATCCGAGAAACTTACTGAACAAGAAACCTCTACCCTACATCACTGCGCGTTACTCCATTCAACGTCCAGTACTCTAAATTGAATGTAAAAAAAAGCAGATTCTGCTGAATATAATTATACATTCTCGTTTCTGATAAGTTCGTGAATAAAATCAACTTCTCATCCATGTCATCAGCAGTTTCGCGTGGGCATGTGCGAATAATGTTCGCGAGCGATGAGCTCCGCACGGGTGGGCTGTGTCCAGCTTCGCGGGTGATGTAACTGAGTGGAGTGTGATTTGTGGCGTCCCAAGTGGTGTGGCGCCGTGTGGAGGTTCCGGGGCCACGTGCGCGCTGTCGACGATTTCAGAGCTGCTGGGCGCACGGCGGGAGGTGATAGTGCACCGCAGGAGCAACGGTGGACTCAACTGCGCGTCGACTCGTGGTTGTTTACGTAACGCCACGGTTGGAATTGAAGTGACTAAGCCGTAGTAATTCCTCGTTTGCAAAATGAGCTGATGTCATGGGACTTAATGAAGGTGTAGCGAACGTGTTTTGTTGTCAACGATTCAAAAAAACATCATCAGGCCATTGGATAACATTGATAGAAGGATCAAGGTGAATAAAATGCGCAAAAGTTCGGAAAATCTGCCAAGCAACTTAGGTTTACGATGCATATAATATGTAAAGTCATTCTAGCAGAATTAATTCCTAATAAACGTGTATTAACGAACTGTAAATACTGATAAAGGGCAATTCTAACATCCTTAAATCTTTTTTGAATTTTATTTTGTGCTTTTTTAATTTAATTTGAATGATGTTCAAAATCTATATCAATCATTTTCAACATTTGCACCAGATCAGAAAACAGTTAAGTTCAATTTACATTAAGAGAAATTGATTTATGCGACAACCACAATGAAACGTAAAAACCTCTATTTAACAAGGAAATCCTTCTCCTGTGAAACGCAAGTGCAAAAACGACCACAAAAAATCTCCTAACCTCTCCGGGCACGTGTTACGTAGCATAATCTCGCCTTCCATCGGGCCTTGGATGACCCCGACGCCTCTTCCGAGCGAGCGCGTTACTCGCCGCGCGTAGGTTACGTAAAAAGCCGGGTCGCTCGTGGCCCGGCCGCCCCGACCCGGACCCGCGCTTCTTATGCGTGGGCCGTCTGGCTGGCAGGCAGTCAGCTGATCGCCAAGGCCGTCCTGACTCAGCGGGGCGCCAGGTCGCGCCGCGCCGCGCCGCGTCGCGCTGTTGACACGCCGCTGGCTGCGGGTTTGTTTTCCGCACGAGGGCTCTCCGACAAATTGCTCCGAGGGGTCGTGGCCTCGGCAAGTGATTTAGATTTAATGGGGGAGTGAATGTCGTTATGTGTGCTATTTCTTCTTCCTACTCTTTGAGTCCTGGTCTGACATCCGCATTCTGGCAGAAGTGCTGCAGGCGAGTGTACGCCAATGCGTATATACACTCGTGGAATGCATTTATTTAATGAAGTAGAAATACTTCAGTAGCTATTATGCGAGGGAATAGGGTCAACAGTACTGATTGATTGACGTTTCCGGACATGCCAGTTTTGATCATTAGTGTTGTGAATATTTATCCTAGAGATAGTAGTGTTCCTCCCCCACTAGGTGGCGATTTCCTGCACCGATGTACATGTTGACTTGTGCGGGAATTCCCCATCCAGGTATCTCCATTAACGGGTCACCGCTCGAATCGGGACAAGCTGTAAATTCCAGACTCGTGTCCCGACATATGTGGTACTTATGCGTGTAAGTAAAGGAAGAGGAAGGAGGGAAATATAGTGTGCGGTCCGTGGCCCTCTTGCTAGGGTACTGCTTCAGTATTCGCCTGGTTTTGATCGAAGAAACCGAAGAAAATTTCTGATCAAAGAAGCTGGCCGCCACAATTCTCCTCTAGGCAGTGATTTTGACCTAGCTCTCTTGCTAGTGCCTAGACTAGTGGGTTGCTACCGTCAGTACTCGAAGCATAGGATTCCCCGCGGAGAGTCAGAGTCGCTGCAGTGATCGCGGCAATGCTGACTCTGAGCTAAAGTCAGCCGGTTACAGGATCTGTATTTTTGTGTAAAAGGCGTTGAAATTTTGCGCTAGCTAAACCCGTTCAACTTGTTGAATCACAACCCATTTATACAACGCGTTCAACACTCGTTCCATTACCTGTAACTGGTTCGCAAAATACACTCTCCTGCTCTTTTATTTCTCAATAATGAAAGCCATTGCGAGATAAGGTATGAGTCCTTAGCCTGATCATAAAGATGTTAAAAGCTTTAAGATGGGGAAATGTTTTGAATTGAACGTAGGATGCCATGGAAACGACAAATCAAAGATGCCAGTTACTGGCTGTGGTGTTCTCCGGCTCAGCTACTTAGTTCCGAAAATTTGTCGAAGTCGGACTCGAACCTAAGCCATCTGTCTTCGAAACTTACGTTACCGATTCGCAACTACATGCGATCGCGTTACATTCGCAGCTACAACTACCACCAAACCATGCCAGTTTTGTTATTTTCTTTGAGCATACGTTTGATTTTCAATCACTTAAAGTATTTATGAAATTAATTTTCAAAGCGCACCAAAATTGAATGAAAAATATTCAGCTCTCCGATGATAGGAGACATTTCTTTGGTTTCTTGAAGTACCTAGGAACTCTAGAGAAAAATACAAAAAAATATTAAATAATGCATATTTTGACTGAAACTGCAAATAGTCTATTTTATTATTCCGCCTGTTCTCATACTGCGTGTACCGACTGAATTCTTATACTCATTGTGCCACTGCTTAGGACACAACCAACCTGATGCGACAGCAAGGCTCAAAGGAAGAGGTCCCCCGCCATTAAGTATTTTCTATTCAGGTGTTGCATTTTGGTACAGAAACTTTTTTGAGATTCTTGATGCATAATGAACTATTGCACTGTGGATCCGTGTAAACTGTAGCATGTCATTGCACTATCCGTGAAGACTGTTTTTGTTAACATGGTATATTTATTGTAGTGTTATAAAAAAGATTTTTGTTGTTCAGTAGTGTGCGTGGGTACATTATTTTTAATACCATTTTGTGTGGTGTTAGGATGGAGCATTTTTGCTACTGCAGGTCATTAGTACAGACATAATTACGTTTTTAGAAAATATTATCATTTAATTTTACAGTCTAGGATAACAAAACGTTCAATGTTCATACCAATGTTTTTTAATGGAATGTACATATTATCGACACATTATCGCGAAGACATCCCTGTATCAAAGAGACAATCAGTTAAATATTCTGCTGTCCTGGAGTGTTCTGGGATGATACAAATCCCCTTCAGAACCAGTGTACCTGAGCTTTTCCTTGCGTTACGAAACTCCTGTGTTTTTTATGAATTTCCATAAATAAAAGGAATGGAGGAAAATATGGTTTTCCTATGTCGAAAAAATACCGACCACTGCAAGTAACGCGCAGGATGCTTACACTTTCTTGAATGTTTTTCTTTCAAAGGACATTTTTCGTTCATCATTATAAAATCTTTATAATACTTTTTTAAGGAGTACACGCTTCTAAACTATCAGAGGTTTGTTAGAAAAATTACCATTGACAAGTGTTGTTTCCAAATACTGTTAGCAATTCCAATAATTAGCTTTGCAGCTAATTATGTCACAGCAATGCCGTCAACGATTTCCAATAATTAGCATCCTAAGCTAGTGTGTGATCGTTACCTCTTATATTTTCATTTCTGGCATCTTTGATTTATGTATCTGCTTTATTTTGCATTAAATGGGTGAGCTTCCTTTTTCGGTGTGCAATTAAAAATAATGAGTTCTAGGGATAACACGAAAAATACTAAGAATTACTGTGATTATTAGAACATGGTGCAGTGTGAAACTAAAAAGGTGTATTTTATCCAGAGAACTATCACAGAGGGGAATTGTTTTGGAAAATTCAAATTTAAATACTACGAGTATGTATGTTTTTTATCTTTTCACTCTAATATTTCTAATTTTCTGGATAGCATGTGGAGTAGTTGTTGTTTTAAAACTTTAAGTCAAATTCATCTTATTATGAAGAAATGTTGAAATTTTAGCACAAAACATGCGTTGAAACCATTATAATATTGCATAATAAGCTTTGCAAAGTGTAATCAAATGTTACTCCAACCTCGACAATCGTTTCAGAATTCTTGTTTGCTACTAGGTATTAGTTCTTCGTACTGCGATCGATTAAAACAATCATTCAGATCTTGGGTTTGTGATTGGCAATTCATTGAATATATTTAAAAGGAAATAAATTGTAGTGTAAATGTCTTTGTCGTAAGGTTGCAGTCCCAAAAGCTTAATAAGGGTGCTTTTCTGTGTTAAAAAGATAATTTTCGAGCACAGGAATTATTTCGTACCCAGAAATTAAATTTAATTTTCGAAAATCCACATATTGCTTCTCGGAAGAAAAATTTTCTTCGCATTCCTTCCCTATGATCCGCATCTGATTTTTACTTTCTCTCTTAAGCTTCCGCAGTAAAGAGAAAGGTATGTAATCCTGCGCGAAAAAACGCGAATTTTCGTCAGAAAACTCTTATTTCAGGGCCTGGTAACGAAAATGAGGATAAATCTAGATGTTAAATTTAGAAAACAAATCTTCTAGCACGTAGTGTTGCCAGAATCCATGTTTTGTGAATTCTTGATACCGAAAAACCGAATGACAGCAAAACGTCTGTCCGTCTGTCTATCCGTCCGACTGTGAAAAATGCTAGTGGTTGAACTGTTCAGCTGATTTGTTTTAAAATTGATATTCCCGAAACGATGTGACTGATGTCGCTGCCCATAGAATTTGAAACCTATATTTTAATTTTTGAGGGGTACTTTACATGAAGCCTCTGGAACATTTTCAAAATTTGCGAAAATAGTATTTTATCAAATTTTATTATTGAATGGTTTGAAGGACGTTTAAGACAATGGTGTAGATCTCATTTGTGTTGAAAACTGATTTTGTGAAAATTGCAATAATCCCAAATTTTTTTCGGCGATTTCCTACAACTACAATTATGAATATTTTGAAATAAGGTCAAGTAGAATTTTTCGAAAATTTGATATATTTTCGCGTAAATTTGCGTGAAATTACGTACTGTTTTACCACTAGTTAGGAGACAGTTCTGTAAGAGAGTAATTTTAGTCCACCGTTGAGTGATTTGTTATTTCTATTTGCAAGGTTAATTTCTGCCATAGTTTTCTGGTTCTGAGAACAAGTTACAGTAATTCTCGAATCGCAGCATTAGTCTAGTAAATACGTCCAAACGAAGGGAACTCACGCGAGAGAGCCAGACACGCAACGATGCTACTAACGAAAGTACTTTAGATATTTCTTGTGAAATCGTCGCACATATATTCTTTATATATCAATCCTGGATCGTTCTATCAAAAGGTTGTTTTTTTCTATCCAGGGATATTTCCAGAACTATCCACGATGAGCATTCGTTTGTCTCTGAAGAGCGCCAGAGGCGCTGGCAAGGACGGCGCGTTGTATTTTAAGAGCGCGTAGCAAGGAGCGTCAGGTAGGGGTTATTTCTACTGTGGCGGATGATCCTCTTGGGAGTTAGTAGCGCGTGGTAGCGAGCGTTTGCAGGATATTCGCTGACGCCCACTTCCTACTTGTGTATCAAGTAGTCACCGCAGAGTTCTTGAGAGCAATTCCGTGAGAATAATTTTCTTTCGAATCTTCCGATGCAGTGATACAAAGTCTGAGAAAATGTTTGTTGTCTCAGTTGAAAGTTATTGCGTCGGCTAATATCAGAGACTGTTTCTGTTAACGATATGTCTTTCTGCACCTATAACGTTATCAAGTTTTGATTAAAGAGCGAGAAACATAACTTACAGACTCGTAAAGCGGATGAGTAAAACTATATTCATTGTCTTTTACATGAATTCTGCTCCAGTTTAAAAAAAAAAGATTGAAGAAATTAAGAATCTCTCCATTACTTAATTCAATGGTCGAGGTATTTCGAAGCAACATATGACATTGTACATATTATATTTAAACGAGCATGCAAATAATATATGTCGATAATGTTTTATGTTTTTCCTTTACTGCTTACCGTCGAAGACCAAGAAAAGTGACACGTCCAAAAATGGTCATTTTGCAGGCAAATAATTTACTTTTTAACGTAGCCGTGTATTTCTTACCCAAATGTAGTGTTTTGTGAACTATTCTAAACACAGTTTTTGAAAAAAATACCTTTTACTGAACAGAGATCTTCTCATAACACAATAACTGACGATTTTGGTGATGTAACTTTTCTTTTTCTTCGACGATATGATTTGAAATGGATAAATAAAGAGGTATTTTGTACCTCATTTTGCATGGATGGGAGATGGATTACATTGTGAGTATATTTTGTTTATTTCTTGGAAAACATTATGCTTTTCCATGTGCAATAGTGGTTGTATTCAAGCTGCTTTATGGAAAATTTAAGAAAATAAAATTTAAATGGTTTCTGAACTTTCTTTTGAATGACACTATACCTCACTTTGGTCTCCGGTCGAACATCCGCGAATCTCTGTAGAAGTCGTTCTATATTTCATATATCAAGGAAGACGAGTCATCAAAACCGGACGGGAAGGAAAGATGGTGTGCCTTCAGTGTACAATTGAAGCTTTGAACTTTCGGGCATTACAATGGCATCTGCTTGGAATAATTTCTCGAAAACCATGGAAATAGCTGTTCCGAAAGACCGGCTTCTAGTTCTGCTTTGTGTCGAATGTTTTTTACCTAAAGTCGAAAATCTCCCTTTGCTAGGACTCGAATTTATGACCCTCCAGTCCACGCTTCTTCGCCACTGCAGTCGATAATGACATATTAAGTATCACGAATTTAGAGAAAATAATTTAGAAATTAATATTTACAACTGACAATGAAATACTATTTTACGGAACGCACATTACATTTATTTACAAAAAAAAATATTTAAAGAATTTCCTGTGCCCTGCAACGAAGTAAATCATAACTTTTACTGTAAACACGGAGAATGAAGCAGCAGTCAAGTTAAGCTGCGCATCTGTTGTGCAAGAGAAATACTTAACCGGCGCAAAATTAAGTATTTCTCTTGCAAAACCGGGATAAAGTTAAATATTGTACTGTCTCTTTGGAAAATATGATCAGTCTTTGCAAACATGATTAAACCAATTTTCGTTTTTCGTTAAACAATATTGACTTTTGAAGAGCAGTCTACTTGTACAATGTCAGGCAAAGTGTTTTCCCAGATATATCTCAAATATTGAAACAGGTTGAGTGGTTAACCTCGACGATGTTTTCCTCAAAGCGTTGTAAATCAGTGGCGTGTTGGAGTTCTGACTGCCGAAGAGAGTGCTTTTCTGGTAGAACTGTATCCCAGGTAGTGTTCTCGTACAAGGAAAGGGAACCATTGCGCGAGGTAAATAACGGTACAACGTTTTTTAAAACTATTTATTCTTCCTGTCAACATCATCACAATTCAACATCAATGTTTTACAGGGATTTTCAACTACTATTTTCTGTAACATTTTGGGACGATCCCGCAGTCGTCAGGCTAGTAAACTTTAACTATGAGACGAATAGAGACTATGAGATGAAAGAATGAATATCCTTATGTCATTTTCCTTTTTATCGTTCAGAATTGGATTTAACATTACTTATAAATTTAATGTTTGAATTTATTGAATGTGTATGGTGAGCGGAGCGTATCATTTGGATATCTACAGCGTATACGTCAATTTTGTTTTGTTTTACCTGAGGCAAATATATTTGTGCAAGGTGAAGATGAGAGGCTGAAGTATTTTTTGGTTAGTGTATTGCTATATTGGTCAGGAGGTTCAATTTGTAATTTTATGTGAATCTATATGTTCGTAATAAGCCAATGATCTTAAATAATTTTGCGTAGAAATTCATTTTCTATTTCTTGTAATTTTTCAAATGAGTAAGGATAGTGTTGCACCAGATGAGGCAAGAATAAGTCGCAAGCAGTTCAATTATCAATTTGTGTATTGGTGAACTCCATTCTATTTTAATGGGAGATTTGAAATTTATTAGCAGGTATAATTTAGAAATTTTTGGGTAAGTTTTATTAGCCATTGCCTGAATATGAGATGACCATGTAAGTTTTTGATACAAGAGAACACAAGATATTTTACTGAAATATTACTTTTTGTCTATAACAGATTATAGCCATTGAGTTTTAGTAGAGGAGGATATTGATATTGAAGTAAAGTACATCATGTCGTCGTAAGTACATCATCGTAAAGACAAGAATGAAATATTTACTCTACCAAAGCGCGAAACATACTTCGTTTTTTAACGTTGAATGTAAGAAGATTAAAATTGTTGAACAAATTGCTGTTTTAAAACACTAAAAGTTGGTCTAAACGGTTGTAACTGAGATCCCACAAGTTAACTTATTCCATCATGTAAAAATCTCGAGACCTACTGTTTAATAAAGAAAAATATTGTCATCGGAAATAACAATGATACTATTTTCGTTGTTTTCACAATGCAGTGAATTCCATATAACAAAGTATTTTTTTTAACAAGAGTGATGAAATTTGTGAACGTTCTTAGTAAAATTTAAAAACTAAACATTTTTTCTTGTTTAGTTTTTATCACTCTTCCACGTTTCTCATCCTAACGTGTAGTTTTATCAACTACCTTACGTTTAATTAAATCCAAAATATGAACATCACACAACTAGTCACGACATTCCCTATCACATGTGGAAACAATTTAATCAAGATATGAAAATTACCTGTACACATACTTGTTAGTACACTTATGTATTCTCAAGATGTCTCACTGAGCAGAAAAAAAAGTGGGTTCTGAAGCTTGTCCTTGTGGTAATCGTCGGGATCTAAAAATCGCCTTGCTCATGGCAAAGGTGTGTTGCACTATCTGAAACCTGTTATTTTATGTCCCGTGGCCGTAGCACTCCGCTGGTGAATTTTTCCAACTGGCAAGCGAGGTCGTTTCGACCCTGAACTGCCGAATGAGTCTGTCCTCTCGCGCCAAGGGATCGGCCAGCATTAGCGTGGAATTTCCGAAGGCGCGGCAGCGGGAGAGGGAGCAGCCGATGCTATCGGAGCCTCCCGGAAGTAGCTTGGAGGCGCCAGCCTGCGCGGAGCAGTGACCGTCGCGACGGCAGAGAGCGCTTGACTTGAGAGCCCACTCGCAGTGGCCTGCGCTCGACACTTCACGGCGTTCCGCACCTTCATCTTCCACACATATCCATCTTAAGCGGATCTTTCTTATTTGATAGCACATCCCCTCCCTAACACAAATAATGCGCCAAATATATCAGACTGTTTTTTATCATTTGTAAGACAATGGCGGTGTACAACTGACGTACATATGTTACTGTTGATAGGAAAATACTTCTCTGGGAAGCATCAAACAGATTTTAGGCTAATGTCGTGGAATGTGTAAGTGATACTAAGAGAAATATGGCTGGGATAAATGCAATCCGCAATACACGTTATGTAAAACACAGATTCGTTCTAGGTCCTGAAAACCCGGTTTTCTACCCCTTTAGAATGTCGAGTAGTGTTTCCTAAGTCATAATGAAAGCCGAGCTATGTTTCTTAATCCGTACAACATTTTTTGTACCTTTCTTTCTATTAAATAGTTGGCAATTTAGCTCTTCTGGGTAACTATACTCCATCTAACGGATCATTAGAAATAAATTAGAAACATGCTGAATCTTCAGATATATGTAAAATTAAACTAACGTTTTGATATATTTACCAATTTAATTGCACAGATCTAACGAGTATATGAATCAATGAACTCTTTTAAAAATTAGAATGTTTACCCACGTACACTACAGGTCCCATATGACGAAATGCTGTTCAGAGCCCGACCGTTCTTTGTTACCAAAGCAATTTCCCATGTTAAAACTGTGATGCGGAATGTACGCACGAGTTAAACTAGTACACCGTATTTTTATAAGTATAAAAATATGTCTGTTGTAAAGGTATTATTATCCTCATGAAAGTATTATTGAAATTTTTGTAATGTGAATAAAATAAAAACTATTTCTAACAATCAAATACACATTCAACGGTTAGATACTTTTAGTCGCCTTTTCACTTCGTTTTAATATAATGAAGTGTTAGATATGTAACATGTTAACTAAACAAGAGCAGTTTAAACTCTTTATAACGATCTGTTTTATAACAAAAAAAATCCCCTAAAATGGATATTACTTTTCTTTAATTAGTTGTAATCCATACATTAACATACCTTCTCCATACAACGAATACTCTCTGCAACGCCAGGTTCTTGAGTTACATCATATAATGAATGTCAGATTTTTAAAATGTTACCTGCGAATACTTGAAATAAATATCAGAGCTGTGAATTGTGATTTCTGGCTCATAAAATGCATGGCAAACCAAAATATATAATCTTGGTGAATGTAAAAATACAACTGTATTGATTAAGATAATGACAAGGCACTGTCCCTAAGTTCATCAAGGAAATCATTGCGAAAAGTCAAAAATGGAATTCGAATGCGAGAATTAAACACAGTATTTTTAAACCAACTTTAATTTATTGATATTAACGAATATGGAAAAAAACTCGAAATCTTAAACAATGTTTTAAATTCAAGGCAATTATTCTAATTCTTTTTTTCAACTATGGTAAGTAATTAGTCCTCAATATCAACTAGTTTCCAAAATTGGGTCGCCAGTTTGAGAAGGCACTCTCGCCTGAAACGTTAGAGGAAAGAAAACTGCAGTAACACAAGAGTTTTGCCATATTCGGCTGCTCTTTCAAAGCTTCTGTGAATAAAACTGATAATTAATGGCACACATCTGATATACCGAAACACCGAAATAGGCTGAACGAGATAGAAACGCTTTTTTACGATTAGTAGCTGCTTACCATTAACCTAATGGAATATTCTAACTCACTCTTAAATGAGAGTGTATTTTGTTTATTTCTTTTTGAATCATGAGTATTCAAAGAGTTTAAGAAGAAGTCTGTTTATTAATTTCAACTGTTGAATTATTTAAAAAGAAACACCTTTGAAGTTTTCCTTTGACTACTATTCTCCACTGACCCTACCTTCCCGGATTATTCTCCTCCACCTACATCTCTTTTTTCTAGTGAGGCTAATGTGGTCTTAGACGAGAGCGCTTGTTCTGTCGCTGCTACCGATTGTCTGCGCGCGCAGCCGTTGCCCTGGCGTACTCCCCCTGCACTTGATAGACCTCTCCTCGGCCTCGATGTGGGCGACGCCGGATATTCCAGGCCCTCCCGGATGCGCCTATCTCAACAATTTATGCGGCGCGCGAAAATGTTGCCTGGCCTCCTGTGCTTCTTCGCGGTTAGATCTCGCCAGGCGATCGCAGGACCTTCTCTGTCGCTTGTGTAGGTGTGCCATGTGGCGGTTCTGCATCGTGAAATTAAAAAAAAGTATTTTTAAGTGAGCCCATTTCGGAACAGTTTTCTTAAAATTCTTTGTCGACCCTTTAGCCCGGATGGAAAATAAGCAAAAGTATTAGTTTTCTGGTAGTTTCTTCAATGATTGCTGTCAATTACCAATTACGCCATGTGCGGTAAGACGTTTTAAAGTGACAATGTTCAGTATTTAGTTGAAATTATCCGGGTAGACTTCGCAGCTCTTCTTACGCGAGTTAAACGCGATACGTAAGTGATTTTTGAAAAAGAATATCCCTTAGCTGTGATTGACTAGGATAAGACTGGGTATGTCAAATTAAAAATGCGATTGGCGGTGTTTTATTTTCACGACTAATTAGAAATATTTAATATACTCCTATGATATTATTAATTATGAACGTTATGACATATTCTTCCCCGTGAAGAATTATACTGACTTCGTGAAAATATGTTTATCTCAAGTAAATATATTGTGAATTATTTTTCTTGTTCATAATCAGAATGCAGCTTTATGTTCACTGTACGAGAACAAACGAATTAGAGCCGACTAATGTTCTTTATTAATGCCATTCGTGTAATGATTATTAAAATTTAGCGTACATACACATTTTTGCATTTATAAGAAATACGATGTGCAAACAAGAAAGTATATTAAAAGAAATAGAAAACGATTGGCATGTCCTGGAATGCATCCGTTACTCTGGATTCAATATTCACGGATTTCGGGAAGATTTAAATCTTCGGCCTCCTTCGGAAACCAATGTTCGTAAAAAGATTCTCAGAAAGCGGGACTTAGTCTACCGCGCGCCATGTATGACAAACAAAAAAAGAATATTCAACGATATGGAATACTTATTCTTATTTTATCATTACATTTTTTATGTTGCATGTGCACGCACATACTATTATTTGAGAAGCCCTTATGAATGTTTAATTAGCTAACATGTCTACATAGAACGTAAATAGCACTTACAAGAGCATTTATTACATTTGTAACGTCAGCATTGTGCCAAAAGATGTCAAACGCTCATTTTTAGAGAAAATCATGAATTACTTTAAGAGAAACTTTGTTAGTTGCTGAAGTATTTTGGATTTGTGACCGTTGAAGTCGTTGCTTAAGTATTTTGAAACTATTTCATTTTTCGTTGTAGATGAAATCAGCATTTACTTCTCATTTTTTAACTGGATTCAAATGAAACAATAAAACTGTTGCTGAGGATCCTGGAAGGATATGGAAATATAAATCCTCTTAAAGAAACGAAGTTTTTTTTACGTACGAGGTATGTCTGTGTTTTCGAAAGGAGGAAAACAATGTTGGCCAATTAAGTGCTCAAGGACTAGCAGAGGCCCGAGGAGGTTAGAGAGCCATAAGCAATGTAGTGTTAGTCATTCCTTCGGGAATTCTAAATCGGTGAGCCCCTCGGAAGTCGGCGATCACGACGCACGATCAATATGCGCGGCGCGAGGTAAACTGTTGTAACGTAGAAAGTGCCTGGGGGGTCGGGGGCGAACCCATTGTCGGACGCCTCGAAAGGACTGTCTTCCCGGGTGGGCCGTGGAGGACCAAGGGGCGGGGTTGGTAAATATCTACTCATACCGGCACGTCTTTAGATTTTTAAACTTTCTCGAGGACCCCAAGGACAGTATTTCACTCGTGCGAAACCTCTGTGAGTAAATTTCACCAGGCATGTCTTATATGGCGTGAGATAGCCTAAGAAAGTATGTTGATAAGCGAAAATAATTTTTCTGAAACTAGACTTCAGGCGTTTGCTATGAAAATCAGCTCATTCTAATATTTACCTGACGTAAATTTTGCATTTTTGCTTACACTGATGGATCCTTCCTAAGCTCAAAAAGGGATTTAATTCAAATGCAGGCGAAATGTGGCGAAAACATATCTGTTCATATCAAACATCGCGTAGACGCATGGATATTTTTGTTTCTCTTGATAATATTTCGCAAAAGGAATGAGCTTGTTTTGATTGAAAACTCGTCATTTGTAATATTCTTATTTAAAAACATTCCTAGGATTGTCCCATTTCTTCCTTCCTTTCTTGGATATTTCTAGAATAATATTTCATTTAGAAATTCCTGAACGATCAAAACTGAATTATTATCATATTTTTCGCCAGTTAGTACATCTTTACATCTACTTTCCTTTATTACCTTCATCTACTTTATTGCGTCTCTCTTGTTCCATTCTTTACGCATTAAAACCGTAGATAGATCAAAGCAT